CTCTCTCTCTCTCTCTCTCTCTCTCTCGCTCTCTCTTTATTATTAGGTGTATGAAAGGTAACGTTTTTCAATTAAACATAAATGAACGTATTTAATCTCTTCCTTCCTTCCTTCCTTAGTTTAATTTCTTTTATTTTTATTATTATTACTATCATTTTATTAAACTATGTATTATTTATTTATTTATTTAATTTATCATATTTGATGGTTAGAGCATTTTCACCGTGAGGCTACTATTCTTAAATATAAAGGTTTCTAACAGCTTCTTTCATTTAATTTCTCTGATTATTATTATTATTATTAATCCCTGCTCTTTCTCTATATTTATTTATTTCGCTGCATGCATTTGACATTCTAGTTTTCTTTTCAATTTCTATTTTGCTTTATGGAATTTAGTCGATGAAAATGTGTGTACAGAAACTAAATTCTATGCATGCCTAAATAATAAATCTTGATTCTTCCTTCGTTTACTCTCTCTCTCTCTCTCTCTCTATTTATTTTGTATTAGACTAAGTCGACTTACATTATTTCAAATCTTTAATTTTCTAAACAAGTAAAGGCCTCACTTTTTAAAATAATATCTTTAAATGAAATTATCTTAGTTCAAAAACGTCAAGTGAAATAATTTAATGTTCTGCTATCAAAACAAGCAAAGGCTTCTCTTTTTTAAATAATTCATCCTTCTATCTACATGGTTGGAAAATCAAACAAATCAAGGGAGAATTGGAAAACATGACGTTTATGTTATTTTATTTTTTATACTCGTAGTGAAGAAATGGTACTGTAGTTTTTAAGAGGGCCAATAAGCATTCTGACATGATGAAATCTTGATTATACAATGGGGATGTAATGTATGTTCTTCTTGATGGGCACTAGATCATCATTCAAGAAAGGAACCGCTTAGTTTTCTCTCTAAGGTATGGTTTTCATGAGCTTTGTATGTATATGAAGTTGTTCTTTTGCAGAGATTTCTTATTTAAGTTGGCAAGTTTTTGACTTGTCAAACATTTGTGTGCAGGTTTCTCTTATTAGAAATAGACACAGAGCATCTTCTGATACTGTGGATTTGTTGTATTTTCCAGGGTAGTGACAAGCTTCAACGAGATTGTTTTTTTTTTTTTACAGGTCATGCGCTTCCATTTTCAGAATTCCAGCTTCAAATTCTGAAGATGAAAAAACTGTTTGGAGAGTTGCTGATATAATTACTCTTAAATTCTTGTTGGAGATGAATCAGGTTCTGCTCCTCTAAAACATAATTTTCCTGCTCCTTTGGTTTCTGTTGAGGCAAATGCAGCTTCTGTTTAACCTTTCTTTTTGGCCCCTTTTCGACATCTTTCTGGTGTAGATACAGTGATTGGACTGGGGTTTGATAAAGTTGAAAAGGTAATGAATGATGATTTCATTATAGAGGATGGAACAGGCTGGATCAGGTATAGTACAGAAGTTATCTTTTAATGCCTTTATGCTTTTGCTTAATGATTTATTGAATTAACTTGTGTACAGAAACTAAATTTTATGCTTAAATAATAAATGTTGATCTTATTCAAATTTGCAAAAGTTCTTCATGTGATACTTGTATTTACAGGGCTTTGCAGGCCTGTGACAAACTTGACAGAAATCTGTTCACACGCCATACGATGCATATACATTTCATTTGCAGAACCAAATTGCAGGTATTGATCTTACAGATGGTAAATCTTGAAATATTGATAAGATGTCTGAAGTTGATGACCGATAACCATTATGTGCATATGTTGTGTTTCCCTGTTTGTTGATCATGTGTATTTTCTCTGGTTGAAGCTGCAAAGTAAAACTTTGATTCAATGTCAGATGGTAGAATCATCAGTGCACTTTAGTGTGGTATGGATCAACCAGACACCAGACATCCACATCAAACCAGGTATTAGACTAAATCAACTTAAAGTTTTTCATATCTTCTACTTGTATTTGTTTGGCATAACTTCTAGTTTTCTTTCCCCAGTTCTCCAATCAATTGGTCCTTGACTGATTCCAACTATGCTCAAGCTTGCTGGTTGCATCAAACTTTACCCTTTACCTCTTGCACTTTCCCTCTCTTTCAAGTTTCATGTTGAGCAGGAGGAGTATGACCCTACAAGGTGTGAATTGTACCAGGTTTATATTTGCTCTTAATGTCTCGCCTAAAGGTCAATAGATTATTAACTATTGTATTTATGTTCTCTTTTGTATCTTTCAGGGAGTCTGCTAGATCCCCTGAAGATGAAGGTTTGAGACCCTCGACCGTTTTGATGAATTTCAGTCCAACCAAGCTTGACCATGATGTCTACGGTCTCAAGGGATGTCTCTGGGGCTTTAACTGGCTTTTTGGAACTCGTTACATGGTGAAAGCAGTTGGAAATTATTATTTTTCTTTTTGTTTGTGTCTCAACAGAACAACTTGTAGGAATTAGGATTGAAGACTCAGTGTTTCAATTATATTCACCATCATAATTTCCTCAGGATAAAGTATTTCTCATTTCTCAGATATGATTTATGAACTTTTTCTTTATATGGTTTTTGAAGGTTATTAGGAAACTGGTTTTTGAAGGTTATTAAAAACTCGAATTTACTGATCATTGTCAGAAATTCAAGGATAAATAATTGATTGTAATTAAAATAAATAATTGATTATAATTAAAAAAGATATTAACATTTCTAACATATCCTATTTAAGATAGCATTTCTAGCATACATTATTTAAAATAAACTCTTAATTCTGTCCATTTTTTTTATTTTTATAATTCAATAACATAAATAAAAAAATACAATTATTCATACATCTCTTTTTATTATGTTTTTCCTTGTACACCCACATTTATATATTATAAAATAACAAAAAAATAAAATAACAAGAATTCAAAATAAATAAACAAATTACACAAATAAAAAATTACATAATAGCCCTTAAAAATTCAGGAAACTGCTAGGAAGGCTTCTGGACCACCAAAAACACTGGCTGCACGTCTTCTCCACGCGCCGCCAAGAGGAAGAAACTGGAAACGATGGGATCTGGCTCAGCCTCTTCTCCCTTTCCTTTCCTCGCCGGCGGTGACCTACAAGAACAACCAAAAACGCAACAAAGCAGTCGAGTTTAGTTTTCTTTTCTCCTTCTCAGATCTCGTTCATTCAGGTCTTTTGGATCTGCTTCACAGCAAATCGGTCTCCTCTGGCCATCCTTTTCTTCTCCTTTGTTCCATGTGCTGCGCGGCAAGGAGGAGGAACAGACGAGAGAGTGGTGTCGCTGCTGGAGGCAGTGAGCTGGGTCTGCTGGCCTGTGGGTTGCTACTGTTTGCGACTGCTGAAGTGGTCGACGGTGACGACGGGGTCTGTAAGCTACTGGATCTCCAGTGATGGCAGCGCTGTTATGGCTGTTGTTTTGGCCGCTGTTACTGGAGGCCGAATGGAGGGAGGACCTGGTTCGGTCGCTGATGGAGAAGAAGAAAAGGGAAATCGGGGCAGGTTTTTGGTTTGTTTTGGGGCTGAGGGGAAGGAGAAGCTTTGTCAAGTCAAAAAGGGCTGTTTTAGGAGCAAAAATTGCAGGCCAAAGGGGAGGGTGAGTGGCCGGCTGGTCTCGGGAGAAAAACGGTGATGGAGGGTGAGCGGCTGGCTTTGTTTCTATAGTTTTGGCCGGGGAAGGGGGCGGCTAGGGAAGAAGCAGCGGCTTCTCTGGTTTTTGAAGGGGAGGGGGGGCCGACCGGCCTCAACAGGGAAAAGAGAGGCTTGTGTGTAGTATATGGGGAGAAGGCTGCAATGGCAGAGAGGGACTCTGGTTTCTTCAAAGGGAGGAGCGGCCGGTTTTGTTTTTCTTGAAGGAGAAGGGTGACGGCTACAGCGTGGAGAAGGTTAGGTTTTTTTAGGGTCTTCTTTTCCTCTCCCCCGTGTAAATTTCTCCCCTATTTAATGTAGACTAGTATTTATTGGCAAAATATTACTATATTTTCAAATTAATCCTTTAATTATTATTTTTTTTATAAATTTTGATTTTTTTTGATATTTTTAAAAGCAAGCAATATTAATGTCGACTCAATAAAAAAAATTAATGATTATAAAATTAATACATTAAAAGTTAAATCTGTTCAAAATACCTTTGAAAATTTAAATTCTTCTAGAATGATGTTGAAAATACTAAAAATATATCAAAAATATATTTTTTGATTTTTTTGTTGCTTTTCTACTATTTTTTATTTTTTGAAAATTTATTAAAAATATGAATAAAAAATTGGGTAGCAACATGGTTAACACAAAGTTTGTTGTTTTAACATACTGATTGTCACGACCCAATTCCCGGATTCATGACCGACACATAGATAAGGTTTTCCTCCAAGATTCCATACATATACGAACCCAAACTTATCTTTTAAATAAGTCAATCAGAGTTCAACGCAGCAATAATAACAAACTAACTTCATAATATAATGTAATTGTCTTAATACAAGAGTTAATATTAATTCAGAGTTTTTGAGCATTAACTAGACATAAAGTAAAATATACAAGGTACAACCAAAGAGCAAGTTTGGAAAGTTAAACAAAAGTGACTTGCTATCAAACTATAAAACTGAAAAAGTAAATAATGAGAGGATGAGTTCAACAACTCAGTGAGTAGATAACATTCAATATACACACACGAGGTAATACAACAATGAGAAATATATATACAAGTATGACTTTAAGTTCTTATAATAAGGTTTCTCAAATAGACCATAACAAGAATATCATATGGTAAAACTCGTCAGAAAATCAAAATGCAATGAGCATGAGGTTCCGTATTGTGGGATGATCAGTCCACACAAGTTGGTGACTCCCCCGACCAACTAGGGTTCAGATACGATGTACACAAAGATTAACACTACCCTGTTAGCATGGTTATTATACCTGACATATCATATGTTCATAATCATAATCATATAGAAATATTCATATCTCAAGGCTCAACTCATGACATCAATCAAATAAGAAACTATCAATTCAGAACTTAATTCAAAATATATACTGGTTTACATCAAGAATTCAAATTCAATAATTGATCATGCTTTATCATAATAAGGATAATAATCAACATGTATATTATCAAGAAGCATGACCCAATTCATATTAACAAATCAAATAGTTATAGTATTTCTCATGCATATAGAAAATTATTCACTCACCTGACTCAAAAGCAAATAGAAGTCAAAAGCAGACATCGAAGAAAATCCTATTGACGTTCCGCTGATATAATATTAGGATTATCTGAATATAAATGAGATATATTCAAGAATGACTCAAAAGAATATATAACCTATTTAATACATTTATCTAAGGCTATATTCCATAAATCTATATATTTTTAGACTAAACTAGTTATTTTTTCTAAAAACCCAAAATCTAACGGTTTTCCCGAAATCTAATCTATAATAATAAAATTAGTAATAATTCACTAAATAACACTCATTTATTCATCAAACTAATTTATAAAAGCTAATATTACAGTTAGGGACCAATCTGAATTTTTATCATATTTTTAAGGGTCAAATTGTAACTTTTATCAAATTGAAGGACCAAAATAAAAATATCATAAATCCATGACTATACAGAAATTATGTCCATAATTCGTCCCCATTTCTGTCTAGAATATCTCATTATGCTCTAGGGATCATTCTGGAATTTTTCCAAATTTTAGGGTCAAATTATAATTTTTGTCAAATTAGAGGACCAAATTGAATTTTCATCATCTTCAACCTCCAACCTAGAATTTCAACAGAAAACCTACTATTCTCTCTTGATTTCTAACACAAATTCACTATTCAAACAAAATCATTACAATCTTCCATAATCAGCTAAATAATCAATTACCTACAACAATCAACCCCATAACATCCAAATTAATTCATCAATTAAACCCAAAACATAATCTTCAAAACCCTAACATTTATCAAAACTGAAATTAAAACTTAACTAACATATATTTATACATAATCTTATCTTTAAACTTATTTCCTTTAATTCCTTTCTATTTCCCTTTTAATTTCTTTTTTTTCTCTTCTTCTTCCTCCCTTTCTCTCCTGCCGGTTTTCTCTTTTAATTTCAGATCTCTCTCTCTGTTTTTTTAAACTTTCTATTTATATTTTTCAAATTTTATTGAATTACTACTATATCCCTTATTTATTTATTCCAACTTTTAAGCCTTCAAGGGCTTTATTGCATTTTCCAACTAATTTTTTTCAAAACATATCACGTTGACGTTCTTAATAAAAGAGCATGTTATAAGTATATTATGTTGTAGTTGACTGCAAACATCCTTCCTCTTGTTTGCTGTTGGAAAAGGAAAGAAATTTGACAGGGAAACTCCCAACTTGCCAGGCATTTCAATGTCAATCCTTGTAGTCTGATCTACATATCCTTTTTTATGTTAAAAATCGGTTTCTTCCTCTTCAACTTGGTAACTGTTGTGTATGGTCCCACACCATGCTATTCAGTGATGGTGAGCTTAAGGGACCAACTACATCCGTATGAATTAACTAGAGTTTGTGTGTTGCTCGCCAAGTTGATTGTGGAAATGACATTCTATTTTTCTTCCCAAATTGACAAGCATTATAATTTAATTGGAGATCAGTGAATGATGGTATACCTCTGACAGCTTCATGAGCCTTCATGGTGAGCATCCTCTTTTGATGACAGTGTGCCAGCCGTTTGTGCCATAGTTTAGTGTCACTAAGAGTGACTGGAAATGCAGTATGCTCTCCTTTAAATGGAACAAATGAGAAGCTTTTGCCTCTCATTTTAGCTTGAAGTATTTTGTACCCAACAGCATCAAAAATACAACAAATGTGATTCTCAAAAATCACCTTCATTCCTTTCTCAATTAATTGCCCCACACTCAGCAAATTTTGATCAATATCAGATACATAAAAAACATCTACTATTGTTCGGCTACATTGAAGTTAAGCTCATAGACTTGAGTGGACAGTTCCGTGTGAAGAAGTGTGGCGTTCGCTTCGTTTGCAAGGACGATGTGTTATGTGTGTGGACACAAATGGACGGTGGCAGCCATGGTAGGTGGCAGCCATGTTTGG